TCTGCCGGGTCTCCGCGCGGGGAGGGGGAAAGAGGGGTAAGGGCGGGGGCGGAGAGGGAACCGGAGTGCGGCGGGGGATGGACGCTACCGGGAGGGGGGTGTCTGCCGGTGGAGGGCAGGTTTTGGGATACGGGGAGTCGGAGTGGAACAGGAAAGTCAGGCAGGGACCTTCACCCCTGGCCCGAGTGTGCGGGGGGTCCTGGCGACGCGAGGAGAGCGGGAACGGGCCATCACCGGGCAGCGAGTGGGAGAGGCAAGTGAAATTCCTGCAGGGGATGAAGCCTGCATGAGCTCTCCTTTATTTTTTTTTTTTTCTTATTTAAAGGAGGGGGAAAAAAAAATAAAATCCCATTTTACCCCTTCAGGGCTGTAGTTGAGGGTTAGAAGGTGGGGGAGAGGAAAATCCCCCATAAACCCCAGGGACATTTAAATGTCAGTTTCCTCCTGCTGTCTGCAGTGCAGATAGAGGACATGTGGTAGCTCTGCATCTGGAACACCTGGATTTAGGATGCCGTTATAGCAGTAACTCCCTATTTCTTCCCTCCCTTGCCAGATTTGACTCTGCCACATTTCATCAAATAGCACATCAGGGTACATCACCTGCTCTGTTCCCAGTGCTCTCCCAGGCTTAATGACTCACTCCTGAGGAGTTTGGCTGCACCTACACCATTCACTGCAGCCTCAGCAGCTTCTCAGCACCAGGGCTCAGCTGAGATGGAAGCAGTGTCACAGCGTACCCCGCACTGATGACACAGAGCTCTGAATCTGCGCACTCATCTCTTCTGCACTCCTGCGGCACCTGACCCTAGAACTCAGGGCAGCAGAGAGCTGTTGCGAGTCAGACTGCAGAATTAGCACATGAAGTTAAAGCACACACTTCCGAGTTAATTGCTGAGGTTATATGGCCATAGAAAAAGGAATATTAGAGAATATCAGCCAAGTTATTTTCAGTTATGCTCAGACTTATGCTTTATGCAGGCTCATAACTAAGGAGATTAAGTGCCACCCCTTAAGGGAAAGCCTTCCAGATACAGAGCAAACCGCAGCAAGTGTGGTTGGCAAGATGCTCACTATTGATATGTAGGTACTGCTCTGCAGCGTTTGTTACCAGTGATGTTCTTACAGGCAGAACAAACACGCACGTGCCCCCCTCTGCAGAGGAAGTCATTACTACAAAGCTGACTTTTGCAGCAGCAGGGATTTCTGGAAGGAGTGTTTCCAGTCTGGGGAACAGACAAACTGTCCACAATTGCAGCTCTCAACTCCTTGCATTTTGTGGATGGATTTAACGAAAGGCTTCACTTAGAATATAAAATATATTAATCTGCTCACGTGCTTCAGGGCATTAACTTAGAGGTCAGGAGGCCTTGAGGTTAGCAAACAACCTACGCCCCCAAAATCATGCTTTCAGGTAACATGCTTATTTTCCCTTTTTTCTAATGCATCAGTGTTTGACATCACTGAGGGTGGGGGACCCCACGTCTGAAGGGCCGTTGTGTCACCGCTCTTTTCCCCTTCTTTCTCAGAAAGCTCCATCCAGCCTGGCCCAAGGATGGAGTCTCTCCCCGAAGCAGTCCTGATCAGAATCCTGGCTTCCATACCTGCGGTGGATTTGGTGCAGGCGTGCCGCCTGGTCTGCTGCCAGTGGAAGAACCTGGTCGATGG